ATGCGTCCAAAAGGGGCTGGCTGCTGACCCGCCTGGCTGATCTGATTGAGCGGGACCGGACCTACCTGGCAGTAAGTTCTCCGCCCACTCCCCTCTCATCCCACATGGCGAATGGATATCCCACGGATAGCCAGGAAAGGGTTGCCTTGCTGACAAGTAACTGGCCAGAATGGCGTAGGCTGGACACCTTTGGGGTACCCTCCTGTACCAACCTGGGAAGGCTCTTAGTGTTTCCTTTGATGCAGTGGGTTTGGCTAAGAAAGGAGGAGACTCGGGTGGGGAGGGGGCCATGATGGGGAAGCCTTCCTGGAGAGAGACCCCCCAGAGGGATGGACACCTCTCCCAGACCCTCTCTGTGTGGTGGGCCTCCTCCCTGTCTGCAAGAGGCAGAAGAAACCAGGAGGCAATACCCTCTCCTCCCCGAGTCCATACTGCACATAGCAGCCAGAGTGAAGCTTCTAGAAGGCAAATTATACCATGGCACTCTGCTCTTAAGCCTTCCATCGCATTCTGTGTCCTTAGGATAAAGCCCTGTTCCCTCAACATGATCTACTAGGCCTTCCTGATCTGGCTCTATCTCCCAACTGTGGCCCTCACACACACAGCTCAACTCACCAGCTTGCCCTCAACTTCTTCACTGCCAAGCTTTGGGCCTTTGCACATGCTGTTTCCTCTGCCCAGGGTGCTCTTCCCTTTGTCACCATTCATACCTTCCCCTTTGCCTCGTTCCTCCTACATATCCTTCAGGTTTTAGCCTAAAGGGTGCTTCTCAGGCTGGAGTTTCTCCAACTGGGTTGGGCACTTTCTAACACTCTTTTAACACTTGTGACTAATTCATGTCATTATTTGCTGGCTTTTTGCTCTTTTTTCTTTCTTTTTTTTTTTTAACATCCTTATTGGAGTATAATTGCTTTACAAAGGCTTTTTGTTCTGTAAGCTCCATGATCACCTCTATTCCTAGCACCTGGATCTGCCATAGAGTAGAAGCTTGAAAAAAATATGATAGTGAAATGATTGAATGAGAAGTTGGTGCATCCTTCCTCCCATCCCCCTCCTCTTGCTCGCTGCCATTGAAGAGGCCCAGAAATGCCTCAGAATTCAGCACAAAGGGGCCACCAGCCCTTCTCAGACCATGCTGATGAGCCTCAGTGCTGTTCGTCACCCGATTTGCTTATTCATTCCCTGCCCCCCTGTCCATGTTGATCTTGTTTTCTTTGCTCAGGCCTTGGAGACCCTGGACAACGGCAAGCCCTATGTCATTTCCTACCTGGTGGATTTGGACATGGTTCTCAAATGTCTCCGGTATGGGCTCAGGCTTCCTGTTCTTTGTTCTGGCTGTGCCAGAGGGGAGGGAGTGTTGCTGGAGGGGTGGAAACAGAATAATGTAAAAGGATCACAGGAGTTGGAGAAATGTATTCTAGTTAGACTCCATCTCGTGGGAATCATCCCTCAATACCAAAACTGTAATTGAGTCATACACATTTTCTCTTTCAGTTTTGGTAATTTATATGTTAGTTGGAATTTGTCCATTTCTTCTAGGTTATCTAATTTGTTGACTACAGTTGCACATAGTATTCTCTTATAATCATTTTTATCTCATTTTTATAATGTCCCCATTTCCATTTCTGATTTTAGTTATTTGTGCTTCTCCCTTTTTTTCTTAGTCTGGCTAAAGGTTTGTCAATTTAGTGAATGTTTTCAAAGAACCAGCTTGTGGATTTGTTGATTCTCTGTTGTTTTTCTGTTTTTCATTTCACCTCTCTCTGCTCTGATCTTCATTATTTGCTTCCTCTTGCTAGCTTTGGGTTTAGTTTAATCATAAACATTTTAATAACCAAGAAATACAAGATGAGGAATAAGAGCTTTGTCAGAGCCCTTGGGTCATAGGTAACAGGAACTCACTCAGCCTAACTTGGGCAACTGTGGAGAGTGAGGGGTCTGAAATCCAGAAGGCCATTCAGTCTGACTGCTGCCTACTTGCTTCCTTCTTCTCTCGACTACACTGGCTTCTCCTGGGGCCAGTCTGCATGTTGGAACCCGGTTGCTCACACCTGGGCTGGCTGCTGTATGAGTGATTCCAGCCAGACTAAGCTGCAGTCCCTTAGTCCTCGTGCCAAATTCCTGGAAGGCCCTGATTGGCTGGCCTTGAGTCTGACCAGATGTGGTTCAGGTGGACAGATCATTGTTCAAATAATGGCTGTTCCTCTGTGACCATGTGGACAGAGGTGGAGGGGAAGAAGCAGTGCCAGAAAAGTATGGGTTGGACAACAAAACTGTAGTTATCCCCCATAACAGGGTTTCTCAACCAGGGCAATTGCGTCTCCCAGGGGACAGTGGCTAATGTCTGGAGACATTTTTGGTTGTCACAACTGGGAGGGAGGGGTGCTACTGGCATCTAGTGCATAGATGCCAGGGATGCTTTAAAAATCCTGCAGTGCACAGGACAGCCCCCCACAGCAAAGAATTTTCCAGCCCCAAATGGCAGCAGTGCCAAGATTGAGAATGCTCTGCAAGGACGCCCCAGAGGGAGCGGCCTGGTGAACAGCAGGCAGAGCCCCAGGCCTTCCTGAGTTTTAGCAGAGTGCCTCTGTGCCCATTAAATACCTGTTTTGAGGCATGCAAACACACATACTACAGACCTGGGAAGAAGGGAGCAGCGATGCCTTAATTTGTACAGATTGGCAACTCCGTGGCTATTTTTCTCCCTGGCGTCACAAACCTATGTTCACACCCAGGTCAAGTCTGGTCTCAGGCTAACCTCAGCAGACACATTCATTTCAGAAATCTCTCTTTTACACTGCATGTTGCATCTCTCCCCCATCTTTCACTCTTCCTACTTCCCTGAAAATCATCACATACTATAAACACATGACTCTTCTTTTCCCCCCAGCTCTAATTTGCTGTGTTTTTGCCATTTGTGTCCCTGTGTGTCTGGATGGTGAGCTTTACAGGGTTGGGACCCAGTCATTGATTTGTTTCTGGTCACTGTTCACTCAGTCTTAGTATGATGCTCTGCACACACCAAGTGCCAGCTGTTAGATGGGTTTGCACTTTCCCACTAGAGTCGATCCATGGTTCTCAGGTGCTAATCTGTGGTGCTGGGCTGGTGCAACAGTCACAGTTTAATAAATCTGAATGTTTATTAAAAATACTGATTCCTGGGCATCAGCCCCAGAGAGTCAGTTGAGTAGGTCAGAAGTGGGTACCTGGAATTTGGTGTTTTTTATGAGCACCCCAGGTGATTCTGAGGCTTAGAGGTTAGTTACCGAGAATGAATTAGTGTGACCCTAGCAGTTAGTTAAGTCTTTCTGGAAGTAAGCCCAGAGCCAGGGCAATTATCAGAAAGACCCAGTTGGACCAGTTTGAGTCTTCTCTTTCTGCCAGAGTTTACAGGGGTCCCTGACAGTCATTGACTGAGTTTGGATTTTTTTTTTTTTTTAAGTTACTATGCAGGCTGGGCTGATAAGTACCACGGAAAAACCATTCCTATCGATGGGGATTACTTCAGCTACACCCGCCATGAACCTGTGGGAGTGTGTGGGCAGATCATCCCGGTGAGTGTTAGACTCATAATAAACAAATGAAGGTTTATCAGGAGTGCTGTGAGAGGCAGCAATCTTGGGCGGGTTCATTGCCAAGGTGGGAGGGTCTGGGGGGTGATGTTGGAAGGGGGCCTGGGCAGTGGTTGAGAACATGGTCTTTAACAAAGCCAACCAGCACTGCCACGGGTGAACTCTGTGACCTTGGGCAAGTCACTTATCCCCATAGGACTTGGTTTCCTTATCTGAAAAGTGGAAGTTATAGTAGCTGTCTTAGGGCAGTAGGTTAGGATTGAAGGTGATGATGTAGCATGGTGCCTAGTATGGAAAAGCATGAATGCGAGTCACTAGTATTATCATCCACCCCCTGCCTTGTTTATCTGTCTTAAATCTACAATTGAGTTGTGAGGGGAACACAAGAGGTTCAGAGAACCTGGTGTTGCTTCTGCTCTCTGGCTGCCACTTTCTGCTGCCAGTGCAGCTCTCGGCTGAGATTTCGGGAGTGACTGTTGTTGATTGCAGTGGAACTTCCCGCTCTTGATGCAAGCATGGAAACTGGGCCCAGCCTTGGCGACTGGAAATGTGGTTGTGATGAAGGTGGCTGAGCAGACTCCACTCACTGCCCTCTATGTGGCCAACTTGATTAAGGAGGTGCGTGGCTTGCGTCCATCTTGACCTCTATATGCCTTTGTAGAGGCTTGCTCTATAGGAGTGCTGATGAGGGGCCCCCGTAGTGGGGACGGGTATTTGTAGAGAAGGGAGTGAACTCCCCTCATCCCTGCTCATCACACTTCAGCTGAAGTGACCCGCACCACTTCTCTTCTACGTTGGGTTTCATTGCAATACCCCTCTGAAGGATGAAAACCATTCTGAGTGAGTGCCATAGGGGCAGGGGCAAAGGGCACAGGGAATCCCACAAAACAGGCTCCTTGCTGCACCATTTGGAATTCCTGAGCAGTACCCGGTAAGACTGCTCACCTGTGTGCTGGGCAGACTGCCACAGCTTCTGGGAGGGGAGGTGTATTCCTCTGTCCAGACCCTTTGGAGCGGGAGAACGACTCCCAGTGTCCCTGGTGTTTGCCTGCAGGCCGGCTTTCCTCCTGGCGTGGTCAATATCATACCTGGATTTGGCCCCACGGCTGGGGCTGCCATTGCCTCCCATGAGGATGTGGACAAAGTGGCCTTCACAGGCTCCACTGAGGTAAGGCATCCTAGTACCTCAAGCTTGTGGTATGTTTGGCTCAAACGCCCCCAGTCCTCAAAGGATGATGCGTTCAAGACTAGCCTCTGAGGGACTTCCCTGGCGGTCCAGTGGTTAGGACTCGGTGCTTTCACCGCTGTGGCCCAGGTTCAGCCCCTGGTTGGGGAACTAAGATCCCGCAAGCCGTGCAGCGCAGCTAAAATAAAGTAAAATAAGATTAGCTTCTGGGTACTTCATTGGGGTCTGCCCCAGGACTGCCTTTGAGTAGCTCAAGTGAGGGGCCCCATGTGTGCCAGCAGGGACCATCAGGGTGGAACCCTTTGTGGATTGGTTGACACTCCAGCTGCTGTAGGGGGGTGGCCTGGCATCCCATGTGGGATAAAGAGGCCAGGACTGTCTATGTCTAGACTTTATAAAGGCCAGAGCTGACTGCCTGCCCAAGGTCAGAGCACCTCGGCTGTGTCAGTCTCTTTGACTGGCACTGCCCTGGCGATTAAAGAGAGTGGGCTTTAGGGAGACATGAGTTCAAATCCCAGCCTTGTCATTATGACATGAGGCAATTCACTGAGTGTCTTTGGGGGCTCCATTCATTGTGTTTAAAATGAGGATGGCAGTGGGCTTCCCTGGTGGTGCAGTGGTTGAGAGTCCGCCTGCCGATGCAGGGGACACGGG